AAAATGTTTCTCCGGAATTCGCGGGGTCATTTCGTTTTACGTGAAAAATTTGAAAATTTTCATTTTTATGTGAAAATTCGAAATTTCTAATTTTTTCATGAAAATTTGAATATTCGATTTTCATGCGAAATTTTGAAAATTTTCATTTCACGTGAAAACTTTTAATGCTAAATTTTTACGTGAAAAATTCGGAATTTCTATTTTTAGGTGAAAACTCGAAAAATTCAATTTTTATGAAATTTTGAAATTTCAAGTCTTTCACGTGAAATGTTGAAAATTTTAAATTTGACGTGAAATTTCAAAAATTCAAATTTTGCGTAAAAAATCCGAAAGTTTATTAAAAACGTGAAAAATCGGGAAATTCCGATTTTACGTGAAAAATCCGGAATTCCTATTTTTAGGTGAAAATTCTAAAAATGTATTTTTTAATGAAATTTCAGAAATTCCAATTTTCACGTGAAAATTGGTAATTTTTAATACGTGAAAAATCGTGAAAAATCGATAAATTACGTAAAAATTCCAAATTTTTAATTTTCACGTGAAAGTTCGAAATTTCAAACTTTTACGTGAAAAATCCGGAATTTCTATTTTTAAATGAAAATTCGAAATTTTAATTTTTAGGTGAAGTTTTGAAAAATTCAAATTTTTACGTGAAGTTTCAGAAATTCCAGATTTTACGTGAAAGGTTAAAAATTTTAAATTTCACGTGAAATATCAGAAATTCCATTTTTTTACGTGAAAATTGGAAATTTTTAATTTTTACGTGAAAAATTTCTCGCCTTTTGGTCCTTCGTCATCCACGACGTTGCCTGATCACTCGGTGGTGGTGCGCCGCCGCCACTGCTCGTTCCCTCGCCATCAGAGTTCGTAGGACGGTTCCGACCCTGAAAAACAATCTTTTAACATAAAGAACTCAGAAAAACAGCAGTTTCCTAGATTCTAATATGGGCCACCTATGTATATACATTTCTCGCCACCCTCAAAAGAAATATCTCTATTACACGAACACACCACTTTATCAAGTTCTTCCTCTAGCGCGTCCAGCCGAGGAATAACCTCCAAAATTTCGGTGAGCAGGTCCAGAACGTTGGGCGGAATATGGGGAACTGAGAGCAGCGACGTGTCCAAATGGCCCTTGTCGACCGCTAGTTTCAACTTTTCAGCCAGTTTCAACTGATCGATATCGCCGTTACCGCCGCCGCCCATCATCATCATCGACAACATACCCATGGGTAGAGACGACGATGCGGCGGATGGTCCTCCTCCTCCTACTCCTCCTCCACTATTACCACCATTACCACCGATCATCGAGGGAGGTCCCATTGTGGAACCTGCAAGAAAAAATTATAAATTTAACGTCTTGTGTCTAAGATGCCACCCCTTAACTAAGGCTTCCATTTGGTCGCTTCGAAATCGCCGACCACCGACACAGCCGACCGACCGCGGACGACCAAAATGGAAGCCTTACCACCTAATTCCCCTCAACCAGACGATAAATTTATAATAAAGAAACTAAAATTTTGATTGATTGGTGTGTGATATGGTCAGTGAATAGAAACTCGAGAGAAAGAGAGGACGACGGGCGGCGCGGATGTCTTGGAACTGTGCCACGTGGCCATTGAAAAAAAAGAAGAACGTCACAGTAACCATGTGAAACGTTACGTGAATTCACTTAAAAACCGAATATCCCATTCTTTTGCCACATGGCAACGTAGGAATTGAATTTACACGTAAAAATCAAGATTTAGAATTTTTCATGTAAAAATTGAAATACCGAATTTTCACGTGAAAAATCAAAAGAATCGACTTTGCCACGTGGAAACCCAAATTTCCCAGTGTGACCTAAAACTGAATTCAACCCAAACCCACTATCTCCTCCCTTTAGAAGGGCCCTTCTACTCATGATGAGCAATACTCACCATCCATAACTGGCGACCAAACGGATCCAGTGTCCAGAAGCACACCATTATCACCGTACTGATGCTGTTGTTGCTGTTGTTGCGCGGACTGTTGCATGTGATGGGCGAAGAATGGGTTACGCGTCTCGCTGGACGATGGACCACCAAACACACCAGACAACGGATTGCTCCAAAGAGAGCTATCATCCTGTTGTTGTTGATACTGTTGTTGCTGTTGAACTGGCGCCGGATGACGGAAACCTCCATCGTCCCATCCTCCCTTCGAAGATCCCTGATCGTAGTCCACACTCTTCTCGGGCCCCGCAGGAATATCCGATGGCAAGTCTCCCCATCCCGTCGGAATAATCGGCCGCTTTCCAATCTTCATCGTCGCATTGGCCTCTTCTTCGGCTTGCAGTTGAGCTTGCGCCACTACCGCCGGATTGTCAGATGTCATACGACGACGAATCGACTCCTCGTTCAACGCCTTCTTCTTCAAATGGTTCGGGCATCGTTCCATGGCAGTTTCAAAGTCCTCCTCGTGCCCTTCTGGAACTATCCAACGACGGATTGGCTTACTATTCGAGACGTCAGCATCTCCCCATGCCAAAAGTCCCTTGTCTCTCAACAACTTCTTCCTCTTGGCCTCCTCATCATTCTCATCAGTCCACATTGAATAGTCATCCATTTGACCGCCCGCCTGACTTCCTCCATAGCTACCATTATGGCCTCCTCCACCTCCCATATGGTGTTCATGGGGAGTCTGAGAACCACCTCCACCGCTAGCCATTGAGAATGGCGATGGATTAAAGTGTGCGCCTTGTTGGTTGCCATAGAACGATTGATTCTGCTGCTGTACCATCATTGGTGGGATGTATCCCTGGTTGCGTGGCTGATATCCACGATTATTCTGATTCATCCTATTGTTCCCGTAATTGTTACCACCTCCACCGCTTCGATGCTGACCATATGGTGGCTGTTGTTGCATTTGGTGTTGTGGTGGTTGATATCCACCTCCTCCACCCATCGGATCGCCATACAGATCGTCTTGTTGTGGTGGCGGTGGTCCGGCGAACGGCGTCGGCTGATTCCACTGTTGGACGCCTGGCGGTGGTGGTCCCATGTCTCCGTAGGGCGCCATTGTTGGTGTCGACGCCATTGACATTCCGTCCATTCGCATGCTCAGGTCCAGTACGTCGCCTGGGATACCGCCCATCGGTGGGCCGTACGGAGGCATGTATTGGGGTTGTTGTTGTGGGCGGAACGCTGGTGGCATCATTCGATTCATATTGCCTGGAAAATTGTGACGTTTAAGGCTTCTTTCTGGCTTAAAATGAGCCTAATGGGGTCCCGCCACGAAAAGTACAGTAATCCCGTCGTGTTTGTGCTCGTTTTGAAGCTCTCGACGAGCTGAGCAAAGTTTGATAAGTTTTAACTCAAAATTGTGAAAAATAGGCAAACTCACCATGATGCTGCTGTGGCATTCGCTGATTATTATAACCGCCACGTCGATTTCCACCGCCACCATTCATATGATGTGATCCTCCACGGCCACCAGGTGGTCCTTGCCAACCGTCCCCGTTCATACCCGACTGTTCTGCTGCCTCGTTTGGCTGAAAATCGAATGTTTTGGTTTGACGGGGAATTTGAAAAAAAAAAAGACTGCAAGAAAAATCGAGTGCCTCGGGCCCATTAAACCGGGATGGGGCTCGGTGAGCGAAATAGTGTGTAAAAGTGAGAGTCGAGGGAGAGAGAGAGAGAGGAAGAGCACTAACGACAACCAGAGGGGGCCGAAAAACGCCGCGCTAAAAAGTGCCTTGTGAGGACTACAAAAACCAAAAAATTTGAATTTCTCTAGTTTTTCATCTGCGTCTCTCAAAATCACACGATCTTTCTCCCATTGAGCTTTGAAACCACGAAGAGAGTACACAATTTCGAGAGACGCAGACACACTTTCTCTATCCCGCAAAGGTAAAAAACGGCCATAAAATGGGGAGCGACGCTCTCGTTTCTGGGCGAGGATATATTCTATATATTTATATACTATGAAGACACAACGATGAAAAAGAAGACGTCGTTTTCGATTCGCAAGCAGAACGGGTCTCCATGGCCGAAAATGGAGAGACGGCGACCATTTTTATTGGTTCCGAGACAGGCGAAGGGAGTGTACGAAATTTTAAAAAGTTCAGAAAAAGTGCAAAAGATAGGATCTTTGTTTGTGAAAGTGCGCTCTATTGTAACAATTTGTCACGTGGCAAGAAGATGATGAAACCTGGAAATTGTAAAAAAGTGCAACGTGCGCTCTAATCTAGATCGCTAAGCGATGTAACATCGCTCTATAGAAATTTTCATGTGGCGAAAGATTTCTGTGAAAGTGCGCTCTATTGCAACAAGTTTTGTTTGCCACGTGGCAAACCTAGATGACCTTGAGCGGGATGCCGGAGCGTCGTAGTTGGCTTAAAATATGGGCAAAAAAGAGCAAATACGCTCTAATAAGAATTACAGTGGGCTTTCTAGTGGGAAAGTTGCAAATTCGCCCTATCGATAAAACCCAAAATCTTCGAATTTAGCGCCATTTTTCGCTTTAGACTAAGTCTATAATTTTAGGCAGAAATTTCGAAATTTCGCTGGGCCGAATTTTGGCGCCAAATTCAAAAAAATTGAAAAAATTTTAAGTATGCAAATTCGCTCTGTTGAGAAAATTTGAAAACCGTGAAATTTCTAGACTTTCGAAATTTTTCAAAATTTAGAAGCACTTGATCACGCTCCACCCATATCTCAAATTCAATTTCAAGTCAAACTGGAGGGAAATTCAAAAAACTTAAAAATCTTCCGAACTAAAAAGTGTTCTCATGACCATGGTCCAAAGTGTCTCATGGACAGTAAGGGGGTAGAACTGAGAAGGAGGACATTGCGCGCAGCGATGACGACGGGACGAAAAAGAAGAAGGAGAACTGATCGCGAGGAGAGACAAGAAGCGCAGAGAGGGCGAGAGACCCAGCATCCTCGTGGATCGACGGAAGAGACGCAGAGAAAGTGGACCTGAGGACAGACACAGAGGTCGACTGGGTGACCAATCGATAGTTCGTTTTCTTTTGAGTGTCGGGGCGAGAGAGTAGGAGGGTGCCAGACAATTCGAGGCCGTATATACACACACGGGCGGTCGACTTGGTGCTGGTGCTGGTGGGGAAAAATGACTAAGCGAGAGAGTGCGGGGGATAGAAGAGACGGTGTCTGTCGGCGGCGGCACCACATTTTTTATTCACGGGTCCCAAGGTTGCCCTTTTATTGAAGAGACGCAGACAGAGATCCGAGGTTTCGATATATGAATGGAGAGAAGAGTAGATGACGTCATCATTTCTTTTGTTTGCATTTTTTAAAGAAAAAAAACAGAAAAAACTATTCGCAGCCAGTGGGAATCGAACCTGCGACCTCTAGAACTCTAGCCTAACCTCTATGCCACTCGGCCAAGCGTGCACTTTTCGCACTTGCTCGTTTGGCGCTGATAAATGAGGAGGCGCCGAGTGGTTCAGAAATGAGCAACATTTTGCAAAAATAGGCGAAATTTTAAGTTTCTAGACTAGTTTTTCTCGAGAATTTCGATTTTTTGAATAGTTTTTCGCTGAAACTCACAATAAACTCCTGATAGACCATTATGGCTTGTGGCGCATAACCAATCGGAACTAATCCACTTCCATCCGGTCCCGTATCCACGTACAACTGTTTTGGAGGCGTAGCATTATGTTGGTGGTGGTGGTGATGATGATTCCCACGATAGCCCCCACGGTTACCTGGAATAAAAAAAAATTTTTTGCTAAAGAAAAAAAATTATGAACCTCGCCGATGGTGCATTTGGAGGCGCGAGGGGATTCGTCTGGAAATTTTAACCTTTTTTATGCTTTAGATCTTAAAATTTGAAGAGATTTTGCGAAGAAAACGGCGAAAAACATCGAAGAAACAATCGAAATTGATGACAAATCCCTGTCGTTTTCAAACTTCCCTCCGAAAAATCTACCGTACCCCGTTTAAAGGCGCACCGCGCGTTTTGCAGGAAACTTTTGCCAGCAGGTCTAACACACAAACTATAATCCGGTTTAATAGGATGATTTCGATAGAAAAAGAAAGAGAACAAGATGATATAATAATTGTAATCAATTGATTGCATTAGAAGGAGATGATGACCAGTTTATAAACCGTTTAGCAGCAATGAAGATTCTCACTTTTTTCGATTTTTCCTTTCTCGATTTTTTTTTCTCGGCGAAAAAAACTTGTTTGAAATTTATTTATTTTCGTGGCGAGACCTTCTAAAAAACAAAAAAAACACTATTTGCCGCCCGTGGGGATCGAACTCGCGACCTCCAAAACTTAAGCTAAGCCTCTACGCCACTCAGCCAAGCGTGCATTGTTATACACTTGCTCGCATTGCATTAATAAGAGAGGAGGCGGCGCGGCTTTCTAAAAGTTTCACCGTACACCGCTTTCAATAAAATTTCAAAGAAAATAAAATTCTTCGTGCCGAGAGTACCGAGACCCATTATAATTCCAGGAAAACATGCCTACAGTAACCATGGAGCGTGTGGAGATGTTCTCTGCTGCGCACCGCCTGAATTCTGAGAATTTAAGCGTTGCTGAAAATAAGGAGACGTTTGGAAAGTGTAATAATGACAATGGTCATGGACATAATTATGTTTGGAAGGTGAGCGGTGGAGCGAGCTCGCATTTTTTGAAAATTTGCAAGAGAGCGAATTTGCAATTTTTAGGTAAAACTTCGTGGAGAAGTCGATCCGGTCAGTGGAATGGTTTACGATCTGGCGAAACTCAAGAAGGAGATGAATCTCGTTTTGGATACTGTAGATCATCGAAATCTGGATAAGGATGTGGAATTCTTCAAGGTATTGTCAATTTGCTTTTCAAAATCTCGCAAGTTTCAATAGAGCGCACTTCCCCTATGTTTTAATTCAAAAAACAAGTATTTACTCAAAAGAGCGTACTTTCAGACTACTGTATCCACATCGGAAAACGTGGCAATTTACATGTATCAAAAGCTGAAATCAGTCATGTCAAATCCGTCGGTACTGTACAAATGCACCATTGAAGAGACGCCGAAAAATGTTTTTACTTATAAAGGAAATTAGATTGTTTTTGAATTTCAATAAAATTTGAATTTTTCAAATGTTTTATTTTTAAAATGCACTACATTGATAAATTGTTCGATGGAGCGCAATTGCATCAAAGACGCTATAAAATTGAAAAATTTTTAAAAATTGATTTTTTCAGATTTTTTTTTGGAAAAGTTTAATATTTCAAATTTTCAGATTTTTTTGAAAAAATTCGGAAACTTCAGATTTTTTGAAAAAATTGAATTTTTAGATTAAAAAATTAATTGAATTTTTCAATGAAAATCTGAAACTTCAGGTTTTCATAATTAGGGAAAAAAAATGTTTTTTGAAAAAATATACAAATTTCGACTTTTTCATAAAATTAACAAATTTTCAGACGAAATTCTGATTTTTGGACAAAATTTTTGGAGAACTTCAAAATTTCCAAAACTTGTGAAAATTGAAATTTTCAAATTTTTGCAAAAAAAAAAAATTAAAGTCCAAAAGTTTTAGTTCCGGGAAAAATAAACATTTTACTGTAAATTTTAGAAAAAAATGGATTTTTTGAAAATATCAAAAATTCTCTTTTTCTTTTCAAATCCCATAAACAAAATATTTTACGGCTTCTCGATAGAGCGCTTTTGCAACCCAATCTATTTTCAAATCCACGCCACCTAAATAAATTCAATTCTCTCTCCCTCTGTTTCGAGATGCTAATCGGCTTAAATTCATCCGCTTCCGAAACAAAAAACAATCCAAATTTTTTCGAATTTTTTTCCTCTTTTCATGATTCCCTGTTTTTACACCCAAAAACATCTTCATTGAATAGATTGAATCTCCGTGTCTTATTCATTAAACAAATCTTCTTCGTCTCCCCCATATATACAAAAACCCAGTTCCTTTTCTTTGGCTTCCCCTCCCACCCTCTTCCTGCGATTCTGAATCTCTGCGGTCTCTTCACACAAAAGTACTCTCTCGCCTTTCCACAATTCCACTTGGAGCTCTTTTTCTCTCTCGCCTTTTTGCAGCTCTTTTTGCCGCATTTTTCCGCCCTCCTGTTCTTTTTTCTTGAATCATTTTTTCATATTTTCCTGCTTTTCTGTTTTGTGTTCTCCCCACCGGTCATTACATTACGAAACATATAGCCAACTTTTTACACTTTCTCCTCTATCCCTTTTTCTTTTATTTTTCCTGTGTTCCTGTCGGGACCAGCTGTCTGATTGGGGGTGGCTGGCTATCAGTCACGTCCCAAAAGAATCAGAAATCGATCCTCCAGAGCAATACGTGCAGTTTTGTCTGACAAGACTTTTCCAGAACTTTTCCCCCTTGTGATAAGAGAACTGCACTTATCGAATTTCACTTTTTTCCCTCTCTCTGAAAATGACGTTTTAGCCATCTGAAAGGCTGGAAATTTCATTTTTGACACACAAAAAAGGCGCCACGTGATGTTTATTTAGTTTGTGTGCCAGTATTTGCAAAAAGATCTGGGTCATATTTCAACGTTATATTCGAACTTTTGCATTAGAGCGAAATTGCCACTTCCATTCGCCACGTCATAATATTCTTTGCTTTTTCATCTTCTCATGTTTCAAACACAGAATTTGAGGAGAAACGTGAAAAACTCACATTTTTCGAACTGATGACATAGAAATTTGAAATTTTGAAAAACGAAATTTTTGATTTTTTTTTTGAATTTTTATTCTTCAATTTTCCCTGAAATTACACATATTCAGGTACTTGGAATACGAATTTTTTGTCTTAAAATACTTTTTTTCATAATTTCCTCTCTAAAACCCTGAAATTTTTTAGGAAATCGAAGCACAGAATTCTAAAAAGTTTTCCCCCGCCCGAAATTTTCAATTCCAGCTCATCTTCCATAGAGCGCCCTTGCATTTTTCCCTAAAATTTCACCGCGAATTTTGAATTTCTAAAAATTTTCCCGAAAATTTCTCAATTTTTCAGGAGTTCAGCGGAGATTCAAAGCAAAAATTTTCAAATATTTATTCAAAATTTCGAAAAAAAAAATTAAAAGATTGAATGAGCGCCGCACCGATTCATCGCGAGCCGGTCGGATGTCTTGACAGTAAAACTGTTGGAATTTGTCTTCTTTTAATCGTCAATGTGCTATGGGTGTTGTCTTCCGAGTTGACGAGGGTAACCGAGCATTTTTCTAGGCCATCAAAGTTCAAAAAATACATATTTTTCAGTTTATCTTCGTCGACGAGGAGTTCCGAAGGCCGTTCTTCACAGTCTATGTCAAATCATGTACATTAATAGTATATATGATTCGTTATTTGCTTTTTGAGGCGAAAAACGACAATTCGTATAAAATTCTAATCAGTGAGAATAGTGTTGAGACTGATTACGAGCTGACTTGTGAATCATTGGCAATGGAGGGATATGAATCGGTGACTGACGTGGATTCAGATGTTGAATCCATTATTGTGGATGGGGAGAAGAGGCAGAGAAAAATACGATTTGCAGGAAGGCGGGAAGTGAGTGGTGGAAGAGTTTTTGGGAATTCTAGGCCATGAAAATCGAATTTTCGAAAAAAAAAATTTTAAATTCAAAAGTTGTCAAATACCTCATAAAACTAATATCTGAAAATTTGAAAAAAACGAATTCTCCATTTTTCAAAAAAAAAACTTCAAAAAAATCTCCTTTTTCGGATTTTTTGAATTTCTTAATTTTTTCAAAAAATTTTCCGTCAGATCCGCCGAATGCCTGCATCCAATGCCGAAGATCAACGACGCGCTCGTTTGCCATACAGTCAACCGTCGATCGATTGTCAGTTATACCTCTCCAGACACGTCAAGTACACTCTCTTCTTTTTTGCTCCATTGGTAAGATCTTTTGTAGAATTTTGGCAAATTTTAGGCCGAAAAAGTCATTTTCTAGCCTAATTAACCTAGATTTCGGTCAAATTCCAGCCAATTTCAGGCCACAAAACCCAATTTTGAAGCCAAAAATAGCATTTCTAGCCCACATAACCTAGATTCGTTGCAGTGGTTGGTGTGCTCGTTCACCTATCAAGCGGCTCTCGCGTTCACGTCGGTCTCCAGTCTCAACTTGATCTCCAGCTCATCCTCCGTATTCGTTTTAGCGTTTGCCATTTGTTTTCCCAGTGCTAACAACAAATTTTCAGCCTATAAGGTAGATTTTTAAAGGGAAATTCACATTAAAATCGGTAGGAAAATATGTAGATTCATATAAAAATTTGAAGGGAAAAATTAATTTTTCTTCAATTATTTGCAAAAATTTTAGACCTTTTTAGGTTTTTCAGCTATTTTAAAGTTTTTTTTCGATTTTTTTCGGTTTTTTGTCTGAAAAAAAATCTTCGAAAATAGCTTTAAAAAAACCTAAAAATTCTAAACATTTTGCGAAAAATCGAAACAATTTTTTAATTTTTCAAAAATTTCCTGCACATTTAAAGGCAATAAAAATATAAATTTTCGGATATTTTTTTTCTAAAATATGCCGAATTCAGGCCCTCCTGGTCTTAATCAATGTTGCTGGAGTGCTCGTCGTCTCTCACTACATCCCATCGTTGTCTGGAGCCTTCTTTGCTCTAGTCTCAGCACTTTCCTACGCTGTCTACCTCTTCACTTATGGACATTTTGAGGAAAAATACGGGCGGGTCGATATCAATTTAATGTTTGGGACGATAGGAGTGATAGCGTTGGTGGTTGGAACACCCGCATTGAATTTATTGGATACATTTGGGGTGGAAGAACTGCATCCGCTACCCAATATGACCCAATTTTCGTCAATATTGTTTTCAGCACTTATTGGTAAGGGCCCTTATAAGGGTTTTCAACAAATTTAAAAATTTTAAAATTTCTTTTAGGCACTATAGTAGCTGATTACCTTTGGCTCCTTGCTGTTGGCCTTTGTGACTCTCTTACTGCCTCCCTCTCAATGACCATCAGTATACCATTATCATTTTTCGCGGATACAGTGATCCGGAGTCGAGCGCCAACACTTGCCCAACTTCTCGCATCAATACCAATTCTACTAGCGTTCGTCGGCGCCGCCTATGCCAACGAGGACCTCCCACTGTGAAAAGGCGTGGTCTTCGTGTCCGAAAGGTGGTCGATGCTGACAACGAACAACTCATCGACAGTTTAGAGTCGGAAGAATAGCTGTTGTATTTTCGCTTATATTGTTGTACTTCAAAAGAATCTCTATTGTGTCGTTCCAAGAAACTGGTCGTTTTTCTCCTCTCATAGGCCTTTCAAAGGTTGTGAATCCCCCCAAAAAACTAGTCATTTTTCTTTCTACCTGTATGAAATGAATAAAACAATTTCAAAATTTAGTTGTAAATACACAAGTAATATCAAATGAATAAAATCAGTTCAAGAAACGAGCCATGGTTTCTTGGCCAGGAACTTCTACGAATAGCCCGCGACTGGTCAATGACATGGGTTTGCGAGTAGGTGGTGTTGGGTCAGGAGCTGTTTGGTAGTAGAGGTCCAGGTTGTAGTAGAGTGGAAGCTTCTGGAAGAAATAAAGAAATATATTGATTTCCCGAGTTTTCTAGGTCAAAAATACCGCATCTCGCTCATTGCCAATGACAGTTCCTGCTGGCAACGAAGTGAAGTCTACAGACGCCAAGCAGTTTGCTCGCATACACTCCAGAAGAAGTTCCCCATCTGGGCGCCCGGGATCCACGGATCGAAGCATTCGGCAGCCACATTGGGTGCACTTTTCATCTGGTAGCCGTGGTTTTGACTTTCTAGAGAATCCTCCTTCCAGAGCTTTTCGTTTTAAAGGCGGGTCAGTGATAATTTCTGCTGTAGCGGTTGCAGAAGTCGATGGTGGATTGGTAACGTCGTCTGGAACAATTTCAGAATAACTTGAAGTTGAAAAGTGAAATCTCACCAATTGACTCCCCATCATCCAGTTTTTTCAACAATTGTGGATCAACTTTGAAGTTTTTCATCCTATACGCTTTGAGAACCAACGGCATTCGGCTTGTATTCACTTTGAAATCGGCGGGAACTTCCTTGAATTTGCGTTCTTCGCTCATTTTTGACTATTTACCTGGAATTTTCTCGACTAAAATGACAATTTTCATACTTGCAACGATAATTATTCGTTTTTCTAACTCTATTTCACAGATTTTGCTTGAAAATTCGGCTAAAATTCCTTTGAAACGAAGCAAAATTAAAAATTCGCATTCAAAACCAGCGGCGAAACCGCCCCGCGTAAATCGACACAATTCGCTGCGACGCGACTACGGTAGTTTTTCGCGGCGAGACCAGCCAGTTGGGTTGTCAGTCCTAAAATTTTTCGCTAGTTTTTAACGCGATTTCTCTGTTTTCTGAAATTTTTTTGGGAACTTTTTCGATTTTTCATGTACAAATTAAAGTTCTGTGTCATTTTTCCTTGAAATCGGTTCTTGTTTGTCGAAAAATTTCCATTTCAAACGATTTTTCGATGGTATAACCATACTCTGGCCTAAATTTTCACTATTTTCCCTACTCGGAACTTTCCGTTTTTCGTTGGAATTTTTGTTCGTTTTATTTTTGCTAAATATTTCAATTTTACAAATTTTTCATTTTTCAGGTAATAATGGCGGCCAGACCGCTCGTGACTGTGTACGATGAAAAGTACGAGGCCACTCAATCTCAAATCCGGCTCCCAGCCGTTTTCCGTACCCCAATCCGTCCAGACTTGGTGAGCTTCATCGCCGATCAGGTCCGCAGAAACAAGAGACAGGCTCACGCCGTCAACACCAAGGCCGGTAAGTATATTTCAATGTCACCTTAATGATTTTAAAAATTCGAAGTGTTTTGATGAAATTTAATAAAACTTTTAATTTTTCAGGAAAGCAGCACTCCGCTGAGTCCTGGGGAACTGGACGCGCCGTTGCTCGTATTCCACGTGTCCGCGGAGGAGGTACTCACCGTTCCGGACAGGGAGCTTTCGGAAACATGTGCCGTGGAGGACACATGTTCGCCCCACTCAAGGTGTTCCGCCGCTGGCACCGTAACGTCAACATTGCCCAGAAGAGATACGCTGTTTCCTCAGCTATCGCTGCCTCCGGAATCCCAGCTCTTCTCCAAGCTCGCGGTCACGTCATCGACCAAGTAAGTTGCGAAAAGCACATTCAAAAATATAAGTAATTCGATTTTCTTTTTTCAGGTTGCTGAGGTCCCACTCGTCGTTTCCGACAAGATCGAGAGCTTCCGCAAGACTAAGGAGGCCGTCACCTTCCTCCGTCGTTCCCACTTGTGGGCTGACATTGAGAAGGTAAAAATTTAATGCTTGGAACGCTTAATTAATTTTTACATTTTTTAGGTCTACCACTCCAAGAGAAACCGCGCTGGAAAGGGAAAGCTCCGCAACCGTCAACACAAGCAGAAGCTCGGACCAGTCGTCATCTACGGACAAGACGCTGAGTGCGCTCGTGCTTTCCGCAACATCCCAGGAGTCGATGTCTTGAACGTTGAAAGACTCAACCTTCTCAAGCTCGCCCCAGGAGGTCATCTCGGACGTCTCGTCATCTGGACCGAGTCTGCCTTCAAGAAGCTAGACGCCATCTACGGAACCACTGTTGCCAACTCTTCTCAACTCAAGAAGGGATGGTCCGTGCCACTCCCAATCATGGCCAACTCCGATTTCTCCCGCATCATCCGTTCCGAAGAGGTCGTCAAGGCTATCAGAGCACCAAAGAAGAACCCAGTGCTTCCAAAGATCCACCGCAACCCACTCAAGAAGAGAACTCTCTTGTACAAGTTGAACCCATATGCTTCCATTCTCCGCAAGGCCTCAAAAGCCAGCGCGAAGAAATAAGTATTCCGTTGTTGATAAAATCTTTTGTTAATAACCGATTTCGTCTGTTCAAAGCATTGTTCATCAGTTACACAATTTATTTATTTTGACACATTTTCTTAAATCAAAAAAAATCAAATATGATCATAAGCTGAGCTGCTAGAATTATCACATTTCCGAAACGTTTTGATGTTTCGATCTATGCGCTGTAGAATGTCCTTCATCGACTTTTCCTCTTCGACCCGTTCAGTACTGGCAGGCATTTGGTTGCACGGTTTTTCTTGTGATCGTAGGCTAGGCGGTGGTGTTGGTGCATGTTGAGTATTAAAAATGGGTATTCGTATGAACTGTTTCATAAACAACGCACTTGGCGACCAGAGTTTGTTGGCTCGAACCAGGGAAGATACCTGAAAGTTTCTGGGCGAAAATGTGGTCGAGGATGTGGAAACCGTACCGAGCAATTATGCTTCAAAGCTATTCTTTCGAGAGTGTCATCGGGTTGAACGTGGTATATAGTGTATGTGCACGGGGTTGCCGGTGACGACTGGCTCTGAGTTGTACCATAACGTCGGACCTGAAAAATGTTTGGAATTTTGCAATATTTTATGACGTGGATCTTCAAAATTTAGTGATATTTTGTGACGTGGATTTCTAATATTTTTATGACGTGAATATTTAAAAAATTGTAGAATATTTTATTACGTGGATTTTGAAAATGTTCGACTTAGATTTTTTTAATCGAATCTTACCCTATTGAAACCGACAAGAAACGTGCTTTCGTCTGGCTGACAGTAGTCCGGTGTAGCTGTGGCGGCTGATGACGTGGATTGTATCGTCATCATTCATGGTTCAACCAACTTGTCCTCTCCGTTTTGGCTGCAATTTTTTTATTGTTTTTTTTCTATTAATTTTCTTTTTGGGGGTATTTTTCGAGCAATAAAACAACACAAACGACACAGCGGAAGTCAGAGAAAAAGGAAAAAAAATAGAAAAGAGAAAACATAAAAAGAAGGAGATGGTGAAAAAATAGGAGAAGAAGAAGGGAGACACACGCACACTCAAAGCATGCGATCAATTCGGCTGTGTTGAAGCCTAAAAGGGGGAGAAAAACGAGAAAAGTGACCGCAACGTAGCGTCGGATTGTTTGCTTGCACCAAGAGAGAAAAAGAAGAAAAAAAAGTTGCTGTGTTTTAGTTCATTTTTGTGCCCCTTATCTTTTTTAGACTAAAAAAAGTGATTGACTACTGTTACAGTAGTACTGTATAATGATAAGATAAGTGTAATTTCTAGGGGGAGGATGACGACGCCCAAGAAATCATCAAATTGTGGAAAGAGGGATTTGAGCAAGATGACGGATCTGGGGAAGTGGTATAAGAAGGTTCGTGGAGTCTTAAAAACGGGGAAAATCGTAAGGAAAATACGAGAAATCGCTGAATTTCCTTATAAAGTTGGAAATTCCGGAAAACGATTTTTTGTCAATTTTTAAAAATTGAGTTATAAAAGTAGTGAAAATCGCTTGGTTTCGCGATTTTCTGCAGATTTTTCTTTTCAATTTTTGGTTTTAATTATTTATTTTCAAAAATAGCTCAAAACTGAGTCAATTGACCTTTCCGCTCACTCTCTCCAAACAAACAAGAAAATAATGATAATACACTATTCCCTGTTATCAGTAATTTTTCGCCGTACACTTTCGCTGGAAACACTTTATGCTCTTCCTTTTTTGCCTGTTTCAAGTCAGCGAAAGTGTTGAAAAATGACTCAAAATGAGTCGATAATTCGTTTTTTTCCTTGTTAAATTCTAAGAATTTTTGAAATTTGATATTAAAAGATATTTTTGAATTATCGAAAATTCAAAACATTATTGTTTTTGCGATATAACTCAGCTCATAGCGGTTCGAATTGGTGAAAATTGATACCGAGCGATCCGGAAGTCGAAAAATTGATTTGAATTTCTTTCGGAGCCTACTTTGGCACATTGCCAAGCAAATCAGATGAAAATTGACACTTCCCATCAATTTCCAAGCGATTTTTTCCCACTTTCCAAGCTCAAAATCCACCCTAAACCTCCTCAATGTTCCAGGTGGAGCGAATAAAGAATCGGCTATTCCACGGCGAGCGTGTCCAGTCGACATTCGTACCCTCTGCGCAACAACAGCAACAACTACAAAATTCGGCTACACAGAGCACAAGTTCAGCTGGCTCAACAACGGATCCACAAATGCCACATCAGCCGGTGCTGATCAATCCACCGTATCCCGTTCATCCGGGTTTCGGAACGGGATTTCCACAGTATCAATATCCACAGCAGCAACATCATCAGCCAGTTTGTAAGCCTTTTTTTGGGTCAAAAATCGAAGTTTGGAAATCTAAAAGTTCTTAAATTTTGCTCTAACAATCCTCAAATTTTGCCGCTGAAAACCTCAAATTCAGCCAAAAAATATGAAATTCCAGTTTACAAAATCCCACTAATTGTTATTGAATTTGGTCGTTTTCTGGCCAATTTTCGCAATAATGAAAAGGGATAATCCTGGATAAATCGACACTTTTCTCTTTCCAAAAAAATACAGTAATCCCTAAGCCATGCCCCTTTAAAATCAACAAGACAGGTGTAAACAATGTGTCTATTACTCGTTTTTGCTGGCGAATTTCCGCTCAAACTGCCGAACTAGGCGCTGAAAATATCGCTAGAATCTTTGGATTCGGCCAATTTCAACCTAAATTTGTAGCCAAAAAGCGATTTTTCACAAATTTTGTCTTGTAAAATTTCAGTAAAAAGCCTCAATTTTCAGCGAAAAATACAGAATCACGCTCTAAAAATATCGCTAGAATCTTCAGATTCAAAACTTCCATCATTTCCAGATCCTCCCTCCTATGGCTGGGCTCTAAATTCAGCTGCGGCCGCAGCAGCAGCAGCCCCTCCTCCTCCTCCTCCTCCTCCCCAACACACCGACAGCTCATCATCATTCAGTCTTCTTTCGTTGGATGTAGGCGTCGGAAATGAGACAGCCGGCTCCGGATACGACCATTTGATTGATCATCATCATGACGACGGGCAGGAACCCAGCTATTTGAGGCCTGATGCACATGAAATCAGCGAGTTGAGGAAAGGTAAAATCGATTGGAAAATTTAGAAAATTTGGAGCTGAAATGGACCATTCTAGTCATCTTTACACCCAAAAATAGGCTGATGTTCACAAATTTTCATTGAAAATTCTCCGAAAAATGAACAGCTTAAGTCAAAATTGACCTAATTTAACCAAAAATTGAGCTGGAATAAGTGATAAAATTCTACAAGAAATGAACATGTTGTTCGGTAAAATCGATGTAAAATTTAGGAAATTCGGAGAGGCAATAGACCAATCTGGTCAGTTTTAGACCTAAATTTAACCTAAAAATTGCAAATTTTCATTGAAAATGCCCCAAATAAGCTCTAGCACAAGCCAAAATTGGTCTAGTTTGGTGGGAAATTTGCTTTGTTACGAGCCAAATATAGCCAAATTTGGAGCAAAATTTAGTTTTGAAAACCCGATTTTCAGTCGGTAAGCTACAAATAGACGCATTATTACCCGAAAATTCAAAATTTTAAGCTTTAAAAATTTGCAGCGCAATCAGCGAAGCTAGAAAAAGTGAAGCAGCGAATGGTCGACGAGGTGACATCGCTGAATTTTGTGATTAACGATGTGAAGGAGTTAGAGAAGTGGTACGATGATAATTATCCGTATACACTGGTCAAGGACGACGCCATCACTACGGAGGAATTGGAGGAAAGAGTTCGAAAGATGGAGGAAAAGCTGAGAAAATTAAGAGCCAAAAGTCCGGGTGGAAGGCCGATTAGTGAGTTTTTTGGGAATATGAAAATCGTTGAAAATCTCTTAAAGGAATCCAAAATTTTAAATATGTTAGTTTTTTTTCAGATTGAAATTCAAGAAAACTAGGTCATGGCGTACAAAATCCTAAGAATTGAGTAATGAAAAAAGCCTAAAAAAGCCCTAATAAGACCCTAGTGTGTTTTCTATGTGATTTTAACATGGTGGCCTAAAAAATTCAACTTGCGAAAGTTAGGCCACCACCTTAAAATGGTCTAGGAATCACATCGAGGAACTATAAGGCACTTTCTTAGGCCACCGCTACTGGGGGGTCGAACAATCTGCATGTCAAAAATTATTTCATCAGACTGAAAAATCCTCGAGAGATTCTGGAGAGAAATTCTTCGTAATTCTCTCGAGGAGTCCTCGAGGAATCTCATGACCTAGAAATCCAGAAAATTGGTTATAGAAAATCGGTCGCGGCCTAGAAACCCATCTTTCTGAACCCCAATCTCCGATTCGATCTATTTTCCTCTCAATTTCCCCCTCTTTCCAGGACCGCCAAAACCTCGTTCCTACAGCCAGGAGAACAGTACAAGTCCATGGACATGCGATCGGTGCCACGTGGAAAACCAACCATTCTCCTATCGCTGCAAAAAGTGTCACCTGCCCAGTCGTCGATTCGACCCCTCGGAAATCGAATTTTGTGGCTGTGAACACTGTTCAACGGCCGCCACGAATTCCACGTAGCACCGGAAGCGCCGATTTTTGCTAAAAATCAGGTCATGTAGATATACTTTTACTTTGCAAAATTTCCGTTTCTTTTTCGATTTCTATATACTAATGAATTCATGTAAAAATTTCCATTATTTTTTCTCCTTTTTTTTTGAATTTTGGTCTCCTCCTCTCTATTTATACACTCAATCCCTTTGTTGAATTTTTCCAGATTGACAGAAACTTTAAGTCAAATTTTAAGCCATGCTGTCGTTCTTCAGACGATTCATGTCTTCTAGTCAAACAGCCTGTGCCTCTCCGCTCAAATGGTTCAAAAACGTTCCGGCCGCGCCGGCGGATCCGATTTTGGGTGTGACGGAGGCGTTCAAAAAGGATGCGAACCCGAATAAGATCAATTTGGGTGTCGGAGCCTATCGAGATGATCAGGTAATCCTTGAACTGATTTTGTGGAAAATCTGCTGAAAAAACAGTAAAAATTGACCCAGAAAACGTATTTTTGAGCTGAAAATATGGAAAATTGAACTCAAACTGTGGTTGGAAAATTATCAAAAAATTGCGATTTTTCCAGAAATTTCGAACAAAAAATTGAATTCTTAAAATCTGAAAATGGGGTAATCTAGACTCAAAAAATAAGATTTTTGACTTGAAAAATATCAAAAAGTTGAAAATTCTCGTCTGAAAAATCTAATTTTTTCTTAAAGGTGGGGGGACAGGAGATTTTTCGTAGTTTTTTTGTAGCTCGGGCGTCCGCTTTCTCTTTGCCCGCGTGGCTCAGTCGGTAGCGGCGCCGCACCCTCAATCCTCGCCTTCACAAGTTCAACTCCTCGAGGGGCATCTTTGAACGGAATTTCGAGAACATTATTTTTTTCATGTCCCCCCACCTTTAAAAATCCGATTTTTCAAATATAAAAAATTCAAACTTTTCGCATAAAAATTGAGTTTCTTACTTGAAAAAACACAACAAAAAATAAATTTATTGGGATTTTGATCTAAAAATGTTCAAAATTAAGTTTTTCAAAGTTTTAGTAATTTTCGAATTTTTTTCGAATTTAACAAAAATTGAAATTCCATAAAAATAGTATGATTTTTCAGTCAGATAATCGGAATTTGTAAATTTTGAAATCTCAAAAAATACTCTACTTCCTCTAATAGGCGCCCACCCAAACAGTCAATTTCGAGCGCAATTATCTCGATTCTTATAAGAGATATCAAAATCGGTCAACTGATAAATTACTTATCACATTATCACCTATATCAGTTTGACAAATTTTGGATATCTCTCAGAGTAACCGAGATAATTGAGCTTAAAGTTGGCTGATTGGGTAAGCTTCTATTAGAGGAAGTACAGTACTTTTCTGAGATTCCCAAATCTATCAGAAAATGAGCATTTCCCCTCCAAAAACTCCCAAAACCTTCTCCAGGGAAAACCATTCGTGCTCCGCGCTGTCGCCGAAGCCGAACGCCAAATCGTCGATGCAAAAATGGACAAAGAGTACTCGACGATCACAGGAGTCCCGGAATTCTCTCCGTTAGCCGCCAAGCTGGCATTCGGAGAGTCTTCTGAAGTGATAAAAGAGGGACGGGTGTTCACTACTCAATCGATATCCGGAACTGGAGCATTGAGAATCGGCGGACAGTTCGTTGAGAAGTTCATTCCATCGAAGACGTTGTACTATCCAACACCAACATGGGCCAATCATTTGCCTGTGTTTAGGTGAGCTTGAGATTAGAAATCCGGCAAAAAATGCTAAAATTTTATTGAAAATGAGCGAAAAATCTGAAGATTTGAAAATGTTCTGAAAATCGACTTTTCAAGTTTTCAATTTTCGTGAAAAAATCAATTTCTCACAGGAGTAAGAAATAAGTCTCGCCTCAGCTGAAAATCTCTATAAATCAAATCAAAATACAAAATTTTTGAAAAATGCGAAAATGCTGAAATTCGAATAAAACTATTTTCTAAAAAATCGAGTTTTTAGAATTTTAAAAATTTGACCATTTGAATTTTGATTTGCTGTCAGTACTAATCACTCACTTTTCACCCTAACTGCACTCTATTAAGGCGAAAAAGAATTTGAGAAAAATCTGGAATTTTGACGATGACCTTTTTAACCTAAAAATTAGATTGCTCATGCTCTGACCAATGCTGAAAATATGCTTTGAATGATGCAAAAAGTTGGAGCGAAATCTAGAAATTTACACATCAAAAATGACTACCATAATACCTGTAATAGAAGGGCCCCATAACTTTTGACTTTTAGCTAATTTATCTCGGTTCTTGTGAAATATATTGAAAACTTATCAACTGATGAAATGTGTATCATAATATCACCGATAGCTTATCAGTTAACACAATTCTGACATCTCTCATAGGAATCCAGATAACTGAGCTCAAACTGGACAGTGTGAGGGCCTTTCTATTACAGGTTTAAGGTAATTCCAATTAAAAATCATTGTTTCGGAGATCAATCATTGATTGCTCATTCTAATCACTCTAACCAATTCCTAACCCAATCATTCTTCTCAGAAACTCTGGTCTCACCATCCACCCATACCGCTATTACGATCAATCAACACTCGGATTCGATGTCAAAGGAGCACTTGAAGACATTGCGAATATGCCAGAAGGATCGGTGATCCTGCTCCACGCGTGTGCTCACAATCCAACTGGTGTCGATCCGACTGTTAGTCGAATTACTAATTTCTGCACTTTATCCGGAAATTATCGAGAAATTGGTCTAGAATGTCCCAAAAAAAGAAATCGGTACCGTCGCTTCGAAACCGCGACACTTCGAAACCGGTCATTCCGAAACCGTGCTAATACAAACGAATGGATAAATTTCAGAGTACAAAAACAATTTTAGGGTTTTCAAAAATGCTTCTTCTGATAGAACACATTCTGAAAATCCAAAAATTCAATAATTTTCTTCTTTTGAGAACATCAAATTTTAGATTTTTTAGATTTCGGAATGTATTCTATCAAAAAAAGCATATCTGAAAACCCTAAAATTGTTTCTAAAGTCTGAAATTCATCCATTCGCCTGTAATACCACGGTTTCGAAATGACCCGTTTCGAAATGACTGGCTTCGAAGTGTCGCGGTTTCGAAGTGACGTGGAGCCCAGAAAACTATCCTAAACATCCAATGGCCGTCTAAAAAAGCTAATTGTCCAGCCGGTTTTCAAAGATTAGCAGTTTCCAGGAGTATTGGCCTTAAAATGGTTCAAAATGCTCTCGGAATCCTCAAAAATAACCCAAATAATGACCCAGAAATCCCAATTTCAGCCCCTTTGGACCCATCGAAATTTCCCAAAAAATTCCAGAAAGACCAATGGAAGGAGATGTCTCGTATCATAAAAGACCGGAAACTTCTCCCATTCTTCGACATGGCCTACCAAGGATTCGCATCTGGAGACGTGGACAACGACGCCTTCGCCCTCCGCTATTTCGTCGAGCAAGGACACAATGTCCTTGTTGCTCAGTCGTTTGCAAAGAACATGGGTCTTTATGGAGAACGTGTTGGCGCCTTTTCGATTGTTTGCGATTCGACGGAAGAGGTTTCTCGTGTTGGATCCCAGATGAAGATAATCATTCGCCCGATGATTTCGATGCCACCTCTTCATGGAGCAAGAATTGCTTCCAGGATTTTGAGTGATCCTGTTTTGAAGCAGTCGTGGTGAGGATTTGAAATTGTCTTAAAATTGGTGGAACCTGGAATTCCGAGAAATTCAAGAATCTATAAAATTTTGAATTCTTGGTATCCTGGATTTCGTCTTTTTAAAAATCTAAAAAATTCAAAAAATTAGGTAAGATCTGGGATAACTAGAATCTCAATTATTGGATTCCTGAATTCCAAAATTCCAAAAATCCTGGATTCCGAGATCCTGAAAATCTAGATGATCTCTAGACTAGATCTCTAAAATCCTTAAATCTCGAAATTCCAATTCTTTCAGGTTGGAAGACGTGAAAATGATGGCTGACCGTATCATAACGATGCGCCAGGCACTCAAAGAGAATCTCCAACGTGAGGGATCCACCCGTAACTGGGAGCACATCACCAATCAAATTGGAATGTTCTGTTTCACGGGAATCACCCAACAACAGGTTCAGAAACTCATCAACGATCACTCGGTCTACCTGACGAACGACGGTCGAATCTCGATTTCTGGAATCAATACTGGAAACGTGGCGTATCTGGCGAAAGCACTTCATGATGTTACCAAATAATTTGGGTGTTGTAGCTTGTAGTTTGTAGTGTGTCTTTCTCTTTTTCTATCGGGTCTCTGTTTTTTCGCATAAAAATTTCGCTTTTTTGTTGATAATTTTGTGTTTGTCCTTCGGTTGTTTTCTGCACCAATCTGTGTTTTTTTTTAATTAAAAAAATATTTATTAATTTTTTTAATCGGCTTAAAACCATAACTTTAGTGTTTTTGAAGACCTGTTTTGTTTTTTTTGTATGATTTTAAAATATAATTTTTGGCTTAAGCAAGCCACGCCCACTTTTTCAGCTCGAGAATTTCAGATTTTTCTTTTTTAAAAGTTCTTTCCCCTGAATCACAATTGATTTTTGACAGTTTATGTCATTTTTTTCTCCCCAAAATCACACTTTTCGATATATTTTTTTGCTGATTTTTGATGATGCCATTTTTCATTTAATCCCCCTTTTCTTGCCAGAAAAATTCTCTACAAAACGGAATTTTTTGACTAGAAAAGTCTACAAATTAAGATTATTTTCAATTTTTTTCAGTGAAAAATTAGCTATTTTTATTCATTCTCTCGAAATTTATCTTTTTTTGAATTTCCAGAATTTTCTTTTTCTCGATTTTCAATGCCATTTTTTCTCATCTTATACTCCTATTTTATCCAATTTTCTTGAAATTTTTCTTTTTTTTCCCAGCCAAAAAACCAGAAAATTTGAGCTGATTTTCACTGAAAATTAGCCATATTTCCAAATGTTTTTTTGATAATTTCGAAAAAAATTCCTGAGTTTTCACTTTTTCCAAAAATTCCATTTTTATTTTCAGTTTTTTCAGCGAAAATTGACCATATTTTACTGGAAAATTTCCTTTTCCAATATTTCCAAAAATCCCCGAATTTTCGATTTTTTCCAAGAATTTTTTTTCTCAATTTTCTCAAGATTTTTCTATTTTTTGCACTTTCTCCCCTCCCCAAAAATGGTGTGATCGCTGGAAAACAGAAAATCACAAGAAACCAAACAAATAAGTAATTTTGGTTCTTTCTTTTTTTAATCAACCACTCTTTTTTGGACAAGTTTTGTATGTATACTGATAACAGCACTCCTGATAGCGAAACTGTATACATGTCCGTAATCAACCTGTCAATATAAATATCGTCTCCTCTCCTCCCATCTTCTCGCCCCGCTCTTCTTCTTGTTCCCCTCCGTTTTAGTCTTTTTTTTTTTGAAAATTCAAATTTTCCAGGTTATACAAAACAAAACCAATCTTCTTCTCCTCTCCATCACCGGTTCAACATGACTCTTACTGTAAGTTGAAGAGAAAAAAAACGTGAAAAATGAGAAATTTTGACCTGAAAATCGTTAAAAATTGACCTAATTTTTTAACGTGGAAATTAATTTCTCACGCGTAATTTTTTCCGAAATCGGAAAATCCACGTGGAATTTTTCTATTTTCAAGTGAAAGGAAAACGTTTCCACGTGGAAATTTGCGTGAGATCTGAATTTTTAGGTCAGAATTCCCCCATATTCACGAAAAAAGCAAAAAAAAACCACTTTTTGTTCCAGTTCGACGCCGCTGCTGCTCAAGTCAAGACCCTCAAGACGTCTCCATCCAACGATGAGCTTCTCAAGTTGTACGCTCTCTTCAAGCAAGGAACCGTCGGCGACAACACCACCGACAAGCCAGGCATGTTCGATTTGAAGGGAAAGGCCAAGTGGTCGGCGTGGGACGAGCAGAAGGGAACGTCCAAGGAAGCCGCACAGGCCGCCTACATCAAGCTCGTTGAGGAGCTTACCGGAAAGTACGGAGTCTAATCTAAAACTCTGAATATCTCTTTATTGATTGTGATTTTTGCTAAATGAAGAATGTCTAAAGATCCAAAATGTTTCAAAATCCAAAGAATGTTTACACTTCAGGTGTGAAGATAGTACAATTTAATAACGAGTGGGAAGATTTAAAAAGTGGAAATGAGGTCAACAAATCAAGGATCTCCGTGTTGGAGACTTCTCATGAAGGGATGGAGATAAAGGGGAAAGGAAAGGAAAACAACAAAAATAACAACGAGCTCTCAATGAGGAGAGATAATAATTAAAAAGAAGAACAGAGTAATAAATTATTCGGCATCAGTGCCAGCTGGAGCTCCGTCAGCATCCCCGAAGACCGTACGCTTGCCTTGTGGCCCGGCGTCCTCTCCATCAGCGCCACGCTTGTTTCCTCGTCGATCGTCTCTTCCCCCACGTCCACCACGGCCTCCTCTTCCACGACCACCGCGCCCTCCACGCCCACCACGACCTCCACGGAAGTTTTGCTTTTGGCTCTTTCTGTTATTGAACTCGGTCCAATACTTCTCCTCCTCCTCTCCTTCGAGAACACGAGCGGTGATTTCCGCATCGTTCATCATGACCTTTCCGTCGGTTCCAGCTTCAACAGCCTTCTCCCAAGCCTTCTGAGCACCGCCCTCGCTGTCGTTATTGAAACGAACCTCAGCAGTGGCGTTTCCAACCTCATGGGCGACGTATCCAACGGATCCGTATTGCTTGAAGAAGGTCTTGATGCTATCCACAGAGGACTCTCCCTTGATTCCATCGACAGCCAGAATGAGACCCTTCTCGTAGTGCACTGCGTTTTGCGCCTTCTCAGATTCAGCAGCCTCGGCGGTGTTCTTAGCGGACTTGGCGGCCTTGTTAGCAGCACGTGCCTCCTTGGTCTCCTTATTCTTCATCGTCCAGTACTCATCTTGCATCATTTTTGTGAGCTGAATGTCTCCGAACTTCACATCTGACTTCTGGGCGACCTCTGCCTCCTCACGGGTCTTATAGGTTGCGAAGACGCTTCCCTTGAAGGTTCTATCTCCTGGCTTGGTACGACGCATCAGAATGTTCTCGGTTTCTCCGAACTGGTTGGCCCATTTGATAATGTCGTCAAGTTGGGTGTCAGTGTTGAATCCTTTCTGAAAATTTTTTGGTTTTATTAAGCACTACAATGTTTTAAAACCCACCATGTACACAGTTCTGTGCTTAATCTTTTGCCAGTACTCCAACGAGTTCTCTGGCGTTGGATTCTCAGTATTTCTGCGGATTTTTGTGTTATCTTCGGAGATGACGACGACGTCAGAGCCGGATGCCTTGACGGCGGCGGCGATTTTATCGGTATCCTTGCTGATAGCGGCGAGACGGTTGAAGTTGAGCATTGTTGTGATTGGAACCCCTGAAAAATAGAGATTTTTAGTAAAAATTCAGTTTTACAAAGCTGATGAAACTTACATCCATCGTCCTCCTTGATTTTCTCCTGAAGGAACTTGTCTCTTGGGAGATTGATGTTTCCAAAGTAGTACTCTAACTGCTTCATGATCTTCTGGTCGGTTTCGTCGAGAGCGACGGCGGCAGCAGCAGTATCACCCATTTTTTTAGCTGGAAAAATGAAAAAAATTGAGAATGAAAACGGGAGGAAAAGGATTGAAAACAGATATTAAAGCGATTAGAAGTCTAAAAACGAGAACAATTATCCAATTTTTCCTGAAAAATCGGAGAAAAAGGGAATTTTGATATTTGGGTTTATGAATCGATTTTTTCGTTTTACCTTCAAAAATAACCGAATAAAAGTTGAAAATTCTGAAAACGGCCTAAAAATTTCTGCAAGTGAAAACCAATACTGCCCGATTATTAGCCTAGTTGGTCCATTAATTCAGACTAGATTTTCTACTTTCGTAGAGAAAAAAAAGAACATTTCCCAGAAAAAAAAACCGCGAAGAATGAGAAAAATTGATAGAAAAACCGCTGCGCGCGCACCGAAAACTTTTCGAAAAATCAAAACGCAAGCCTGGCACGCGATTTCTGCAACCCCGCGGCAGGGCGTCCACCTACTCCGCCCCTTTTCTGTTTATTTTTGATGACTGCACGTGTTTATCTCTGATTTTGACCTGGATTTTGTGAGCTTCCGCTGATAAGACCTATTTATTTGTAAAGTAGAGATAATTTCGAATTTTTTAAGTACAAAACGAGCCAAATTTAATTGAGAAATAGGGATATTAAGCTATTTCAAAGATCAATCCTTATTTTTTTTAGTTAATTCGCAATTTCGAACCTGAAAAATCGAAATTTTCAGAGAGAAAATCGCTCAAAACACGATAAGTAGCTTTTAATAGTGCTTTCTGATGTTCTCGTAATTTTTCGCCATATTTTGAAATTTTTCGCAATATTCCGATTTTTTTCAGATAAAATCCAAAAAAAAAGAAACAATTCAAATAGAAAAAGTCTTCAAGGAATGGGTGCACGAGATCTGGCACTCGGACTTGCCCGATGGGTCATCAAGAATGGAGAAAACGAGATTTCAGGAGATTTGACAGCGGCAATTGTTTATAGATTACGGGTTGTAGAGAATTGTGAGTTTTTTTTTGAAAAATGGAGAAAAAAGGTTTAAAAATCTGAAAAAAATCGCCTGGAAATGGTCAGATCAAAAAAGACCCAATTTGACACAGAATTTCGGACCAAAAAGGTCCGTTTTCCAGAGGCAAAAACTGTGATTTTTCATCTCAAAATCACTTCTCAGATCACCACACCGACGTTGACGTCATCTGCGAAGCGATGCGATTGCTCATCAAACAGCTAGTCAAGCTGCCACCAGTGACTTTTGCTCCAGAAGTTTGGATTCCCATCCTCACAGCAATCATCGAAGGAGGCATTGAACCCCTATGGTCTGATATGATGATAACCATTGATTTGTCTCATATTGCCACGTCATCAGCTCCAGATGAGAATCTAGACGACGTGGATTCCGAATTGCCGCCTAATTCTGGCCTAAAAACTTGCGAACAAATCACGACGATTTCAAGAGAAGCCGTCCTGGAAATCGGACTGCCTCGACGAGTTTTTTCGGCGATTTGGGGCTGTGATTTTGGGGAACTCATGGAGAAAATGATGGGCGGTTCATGGGAGGATATCAAGATTTCGACGACAAATGAGTCGGCGAAACAAGCGAGTTGGCTTTTGGAACGAAACATTTTTGACACATTTTCGGAGATGAGCAATTATGAGCAATTCGCCAAGGAGATTTATTATGCGGCATTGGCCAGACTTTTGAAGTGAGATTTCCTTTATTATTAAAAAACAGATACCGTAAGACCTGTATTAGAAGGGCTCCTTCAATAGAAGGACCCCTATAATAGAAGGGCCCTCCGAGAGAAGTTCGGAAAAATAAAAGACAGCATTCTGAACATCTGGAATAAAAACTAGAAGTTCTCAAAATTCCAGACGCCTCCAAGAGGATCAAAAGCCATCAAAAGACGCCGAAGACGCCTCCCACTACGATATGTCATTTCAAATCTACGAGGAAGTCATCAAAAAACTGTGGCCCTATCTCACAAAAAAGGACTTAGACGCAACGAAAAAGAGCACTTTGACGATATTTGAGAAGCTTCTCTCCACTGCGCCAAACGATAATTTAGTTCAAAAAATCGCTGAAAAATTCATCGATACGTGTGGATGGCTGAAAATTTCAGCGGAGCAAATTTGCGCTGAAATGGAGCCCAGGCTGTGGAGAACGGTGAAATCGCTGGTGGCAAGACTGCTGGATTTGAAGAAAACGATTCCTTATGAAATTGGTATGGGAATTCGTTTTGGACAGTTTTGGGTTACTGTAGATTACTGTAGGGTACTGTAGACTGCTGTAACTAATTTGCGAAAAAAGCTTGGAACGAGTTTTTGGAATTTTTGAATTCTTAGATTCTCGAGTTTTGAAAATTTTCAGATTTTCGAGTTTTCGAATTCTCAGAATTTTGAATTTTTGGAATTTTTGAAATTTTCGCACTTTCAGATTTTCGAATTTGGGAATTTTTTAGAATTTTCAAAATTTTGAAAATTTCGGAATTTTAGATTTTCAAGTTTTTGGAATTTTCGAATTTTCAGGTTTTTTGAATTTTTGAACTTTCAGATTTTTGGAATTTTTGAATTCTTAGATTTTCGAGTTTTGGAAATTTTCAGATTTTCGAGTTTTCGAATTCTCAGAATTTTGAATTTTTGGAATTTTGTGAATTTTCGAAATTTTCAGATTTCCGAGTTTTTGAATTTTTTCAAATTTTTGGAATTTTCGAACTTTCAGATTTTCGAATTTGGGAATTTTTGGAATTTTCAGATTTTTGGAATTTTAAGAATTTTGAAAATTTCGGAATTCCAGATTTTTTGAATTTTCGAATTTTCAGATTTTTGGAATTTCTGAATTTTCAAAAAATCCCAAAAAACAATTTTTTGTAATTTTTTTTCAAATTCTTCAGTTTCGTACGCAATCGCTGTGCATATAACACAAGAAGTGACGCTAGCCAGTCCAGAGGGTTCGTTAAAGATACTGTAGATGTCGTGTAGTCATTTTTTGTGCCTAAATTAGACAAATACGCTCCATTGAACTCCCGGTTCAGTAGAGCGCTTTTGCTATTTTTTTCACCGTTTCAGTTCTCTATTTATAGTTTTATTATCTGTAAATCTATATGCAAAAGTGCTCTAATGGACAAAAAGTCCAATAGAGCGCACTTGCTTTTTTGGTGGTGGTAGTAGGAATGCGTGGTTTTGATTCACCTATCTTTCAGTTGACTTTTTTTTTCCAATTTCCTATTTTTTGCAAAATTCAAAATTTTCAAAAATTTTGAAAATTTCAGAATTCGCGCCAGATGACTTTGAAGCAATTGCGCTCCAACCAACTGCCGGAAGCAAGAAGGAAATGTATTTGAGGACGATGGTGGATGCGGTGAGTAGTACAGTAACCCTTGAAAATTTCAAAAAATGCTAAAATTTTCAGACTCGCGTCTCCCTTTGGTCGTGTATAAAGTTCTTGAAAACGGCGAAAAGCAGTGAGGACATTGTACATTTTATGAAGACGTTTTATTCGGATGTGAGTTTTTTGAAATTTTTGAAATTTCGGAAATCTGGAATTGCGAAAATCTGAAATTATGAGATTCGGAGCATTTAAAACTCTGAAAATCTGAAATTCTCAGACTCTGAAAATCTGAAAATCCGAGATTCTGAAATTCTGGAAATCTGAATTCCCCTGAAATTCCGGAATTCGGAAGTTCTGAAAATCTGATGTTTTGAATATATGATGTTCTGAAAATATAATATTCTGAAATTCTGAAGTTCTGAAAATCTGAAATTCTCTAAAATTCTGAAAATCTGGAGATGCGAAATTCCGAAATTCAAAATTTTCGAAAATCGGTAAAGCTGAAATTCTGAGATTCTGAAATTCTGAGATTCTGAAATTCTGAAAATCTTAAATTCTGAGATTCTGAAAATCTGAAATTCTGAGATTCTGAAATTCTGAAAATCTGAAATTCTGAGATTCTGAAAATCTGAAATTCTGAGATTCTGAAATTCTGAAAATCTTAAATTCTGAGATTCTGAAAATCGTAAATTCTGAGATTCTGAAAATCTGAAATTCTGAGATTCTGAAATTCTGAAAATCTGAAATTCTCTGAAATTCAAAATTCAAAAGATTCTAAAGCTCTAAAACTGTCTCAATTCCAAAAATCAGAACATTGATATTCTAGAAAATTCGATTTTCTGAATTTTAGGAAATTCCATTTCTCTGATTCTCAGATTTTCTGAAATTCCAATTTTCGATAAAATTTCAAAAATTTAAATCCCTTTTATTTTTCAGCTCGTCTTCAGTCAAGAAGCAGCGATCATCGAAGCGGCCGTCGATTTGTACAGAGAGGCGACGTCACACGATTTGATCAAATCAGAAGATATTCTTTCCATCGTTGATTGTGTCATCAATGCACCAGCAATCGTCTCCATTATGTTCATCATAGACAGAATCAAAGTATGGACAGAATTTTGGAGTTTAATACTAATTTATGAGCATTTCAAGCCTTTTTAAAGTCAGAATACGGCCAGTTGTAGTCGATTTTGAACGGATTCTAGCCATTTTCAAAATTTTCCTAGCCAAATTTTGATCCGGTTTAAACATGCTCCCATCAATTTCAACCCCAATTTTTCCTGATTTTCAGGATTCGAAAACCATCGAAATCGCAATCGAACGAGTCCTGATTCGAATGGCAAACGATCTAGAAGACATTGATGAGAAACGAGAAGGATATGTGAATCATATGAACGAGACTGCTGAATTCTGGCAGTGCGTACGTGGAATGGCCACTTGGGAAATTACGAATCGAGCTGCGAAACGGTTCGCCGAGGTTGCGATCGATAGTGTCGATATACGGACTGCCACACTGGCTGCCGACTTTTTTCTCACGGTTTTGACATTGGAATTGGAAGATGGTACTGTCTTTTGAAGGGTTTGAAGAAGTTTGAGATTTTAGAAAATTCGGAATTTTTGAAAATTTTAAATTTTCGAAATTTGAATTTTCGGAACTTTGAAACTTTCAAGAATTTTGAAATTGGAAATTTTCGAGATTTTCGATTTTCAGACGTTCGGAACTTTCACCTTTTCAACATTTTTGAAATTTCAGAATTTTGAATTTTTGGAATTTTCAAATTTTAAATTCTCAATTTTTTCAATCTTTGGAATTCCTGAATTTCAGATTTTCCAATTTTTTTGATTTCCGGAATTCCGGAGTTTCCCAATGTTGAGTTTCTGGAATTCCTGATTATCCTGATTTTCAATTTTCAGGATTCTGAAATTTAGGATTTTTGGAATTTCGGAATTTTGAAAACTTGAATTTATGGAATTTCTGAATTTACAAAAACTGATTTTTCGGAATTCTGAATTTTTGGGATTTTCGGAATTCTGGAATTTTCCGATTTTTAATTTTCCCAAATTTTTAAATTACGGAATTTTCTACTTTCGTAATTCTAGAATTTTCTTTTTCTGGAATTTTGAAGATTTCAAATGTTTCAATTTTTTGATTTCCGGAATTTTCCAATTTTAGAATTTTTGGAATTTCCCATTTTGGTTTTTCGATATTGGCTTCACTTTTTCGGGAATTGAAGTTTGGCCACCAGAAAAATGTTCAATAATTCTCAAAATAAATTTTTTAAAGTTAGAAAACACAAACTTCCCAAAAATCGATTTTTTTTGCAGACTCCAAAACCAAGAAACCCTCAATTTGCAACGCAAACTTCCCCAGCTGGCAGATGGAAACCGATCGATTCCAACAGATTGGAAACAAACTCGTCGAGTGTAATATGGCAAAACGAGACGCTTCGAAAAGATGTCCCCTCTTCACACTGAAACAATTAAAAGACGTCGACGGTCTGACGCCACGTGAATTGATCTACGTGGCAACTCAAATGAAGACGTTGAAAACTCCAGAAGGCCTCGGACGACATCAGAAGTTCTATGAAGGATACGAAGGGATAGCGGGGATTCTGGAGAAGTTTCAGTCGAGAGAACATCAGATTCGAATCTGCCAGAAACTTTTGGAAAACTTCTGTACGACGATTATGGAGAACGAGAAGTCTAGTTTATTCTTCTTGATGGATTCAGAGAATATTCTGACGTGGCTGGAGGAGATTGGAGTTTTGGATGCTCTCACTGAGAATCTCGTTGAGCTATGCTTCACGATTGAGGCTTGGGATATGATGACGCTGTTGCAATTGGATCCGAACGAGGTTCATTTTGAAGAGCTTCAGATTTTTGGGAAAATTTGGAATTCGAAAGTTTGGAAGACGTTGGATGAGGAGCGACAGAAGGAGATGGAGGAGCAGACGAGATTGTTGTTGAGGAAACAGTATGAAGTGCAGAATCATAAGATGAAAGTGAGGGATTTCAAAGGATTTTTGAAATTCGAATCAAACTAGAAATCTGGAAATCCAGGAATTCTTAAAAATTGAAAAATCGTTAAAAATTCAATTTTTCGATTTTTCAGATTTCGAATTTTCCGAAAAATTTTGTAATTTCAGAGCTTTCAAGGGGGCATGACCTATATCTGGAAATCTAGGTCATGATCTGATTTTAAGAATCTAGGTCATAACCTAATTTTTTTCATGACCTAATTTTGAAAATCTAGGTCATGACCAGTGTGTCTTTTCGACTTCGAGAAATTTTTTATCTTACCACCATTCAAACGCTCTTTTCAAGTTTAACACAATGAAATCCACTTCAGCACGTAAAGTAGACGGCACATATGAGTTACTTGGTGTTCTGTGGTGGAAGCCACCTCGGCAGTTTTTTTGGAGGTTCTTAAACGGCTTAATTTTGAAAAGCTAGCTCGGCAGCTAGGCGTATTATACGTAAAATCATGAGAGGAATCTAATGATATCGGTTGCCGAGCAAGAAAACGAACACAGAAAAAGTTATTTTTTGGAGCAGAAAAAACCATACTTGCTAAATCCCGGCCCAGCCCGGGTAGACCCTGGCTGCCGCCCGGGCCCGGGCTGGAGAAAAACTTTCACGGCCCGACCCGCCGATCCAGAGACCGAAAACTTCAAAATTTTTCTGTTGAAAGTGGCTTTCATTGTGTTAAGCTTGAAGAGAGCGTTCGAATGGTGGTAAGATGAACTTTCTAGCATAAAAATGAACCAAGTTATGATGAATGGAAGTTTTAGTGGCTCGGGACGTCTTCAGGATTCTGGGACAGTACGTATT